CCTGGCCCACTGAGGACAGAGTGCGGGGAGGGGCCTGTGGGTCTGCACAGGAGGACAGAGAGCGGGGAGGGGCCTGTGGGTCTGCACAGGAGGACAGAGAGCGGGGAGGGGCCCGTGGGCCCCCATCAGCTTAGCCACCACTCTGCCACTTATCACCGTTTGCCAACAATGTTCTCGTAACATTGCTTGCGAAGTTATGCTAATTGTGAGTGTGAAGATGGGCGTCATCAAGTGAAGTAGGACGTGGGTCCCCTCACACTCTTCAAAAACTATATTAATATTAATCACAAAAAAAAAATTATGTCACCCACATCTTGTCCTGGAGCCAGTTACTCGAAAGCATTGTGTTTCCCGACTCTACCTTGAGACCTACAGCCATAAGTTCCCCTCCATTGCTGCAGGAATCCAGAATGTTCCCTGGTCAAACAAGGGACAGAGTAAACAAGGAAAGGTGAGACTGACCCAGGTCTGAATTTTAAAACATGGAAAACTAAAATGTAAAGACAGGCACATAAACCCAACATGACAGCTTTGGATTAACCCTTTGTAAGACAGGAAGAGTTTAAAAGCCTGAGGGACATACATGACTAATGGAAACTATCCCCTGGCTACGTTTGGTGCTCTCAGATCAAGGCCGACCTGTAAGAGTCCATAGAATTAGACCCATCAGTTGAGAAGTCTAAATTAACTCGGAAAGGAGACGACGGTGACGCAAGTCTCAGTGGAGGAGCAGCTCTGCTGATAATAACAAGCGGGGAGAGGGGGGGCCCGGGTTCGGCGCGAGCACACCATGTTTGGCCAGGCCTTTCAAGCCGCTGGCGTAAATACAACCGCGCTCCATTCGCAAGAGAAGAGTGCTTCCATCGTGAAGTGCATGTTCACTTCAGTAAACAGTTAAAGCAGTATACATGTTCATATTTTGTATAAGAATGTTCTTAAGTGGCATATTCATTGTTTTGCTATACAATTACTAATCATTATGAACCGCCAATCACGCTAAAGCACATGAGATTCCCATTCATTCATCCATCCATCCATCCATCTTCTGTAACCGCTTATCCTACTCAGGTCGGGGGGGCAGAGCCTATCCTGGAGGCTATAGGAACAAAGCAGGGTAAGATTATCATATTTGTCTTATAATTCATTACATTACAGAGGCCATTACTGGGATTAAGTAACTTTCCTTATTAAGCATTTACTGTGGCCAAAATATGCCACATGTTTGAAAACGTTACAATGACCACCAGAGGCATCAGAGTGGCATGGATACCCTTGGCAGATTCATGGGGCCCAGCACTTGACAGGGGTCTTCAATCCGTAAAAGTTATATATAATATTTGGCCGGGGACCAAGGTGACATTTTGTCAGGGGGGAACCGCTAGGTACGCCCCCGGGGCCTGCTATAGTACGAAGGTTAGAAGTCTGACGGAGCAACATCCCTGAATGTTTACCGATACGATAACTGGATAATTTCATTCGTAATTTATGAATAATTTAGTTTAGAGAAAGAGAAGGAATACCGTGCTTATGGAGCACGAAAAACGTCACGCCACGGCTGATCGTTCCCCCGGTCCCGTGTCCCCTGGCCCGGCCGGTCTCCGAGGGATTCCTAAATTAAAGGAACGCCGGGGATTGCTGACCAGGCATTCCGGGATTATTTTATACTCAGTTATACCCAGCGGATGGGTTTAAACATTTATACTCCAGACGCTGGAAGACATAAAATCATGTATTCCACATTTCCTTCCCAATTTCCCGTATACGATTAATCTCAAATTCAGCGCGAGCCCCATTGATAGCAAGCATTTCAAAAAAACAATGCAGCTTATAAATAGCCTATCAACTTACTAAAGTCAGTCCGTGTATATGTGATACTACGTGTAAAAATTGCTCTGAGGAGTAGCTGCGTTTGGCTTAGTGAATGATTGCTTCATTTCCAATATAAAATTACACAGAAAACTCTAATGGATGTACTGTAGTCAAGCTAGCAGTCTGTTAATTTGTGCTGCAACCTGTATGGGTTATAAACTGTAGGTGCTTTGCCCATAAATCTGATGAAGTGGAGTTTTATATTTATCGACTTTGAATCACAATTTCAGGACCCTGTCGGTGGTCTTTATCACGGGTCTCGACACCCAGGCGGCTCATTACCGGTAATTCATCTTCCTCTGTTTTTATTTTACTCCTGCCGAGGGTCAACTTGTGATGCATACATTAGCGTCAAATGCCAAGTTTATCAACTCTCCTCATATTTTCGCACCTTCGTGGCTTTTCAAACATTAGCCAAAAGTCGTTTAAACACTTAAGTGTCTTAAGCTCGGGAAAAACCAACACAAAATTCCAGGGCTTTCATTAACAAACCACGTCCACTGGGACCGTGAACACAAAATAAACAGATGGGGAACCATAAAGACCGTGACAGCTCTGGGGGTGACCACAAAAATCACGAGACCACTGACCTCGACCACACCGACCTGAGGTACGTTTCCCAATAGCTTCCGTTAGCGACTTATAGTTGCATGGTTCCAACTTCCAGATAAACGTACCGCGACGCTAAGGAGCGAGCCGTTACGTAAATAGCAGCTGTATTGTTAATTGTAGGCGTGGTTTGTCTGCGCCATGACACGCCCACGGGACCCATAGACCCCGCCCTACGAAGACCACGCCCACACGCACCTCCAGCTGACTGCTCACGCGGCACTTCATCCGCGTGCTCGTGGCTGTCTGTCACTCTGCGCGCGAGCGGGAGGGCTTATGCATGATGCCACAGAAAGACGAGGAAAGTGCCGTTTCTTAGTGAGCGATACTTCTTAAATGATCTGATTACAGATTGATCATTTTTGGCAGATCACACAGCATTTTGAAGAAACTGTCACAATTCGGTGACAAAGTTCTGTTTCTGGATTGCCTATTCTCTTCAAGAAACATCCATACGGACACCATCGTAAATACCTCTGCCACCGAACAGACATCGCGTCTATCTGGCATCTCCGCTTCGGGACACACCACCGGGAGAGAGCGCCGAGCTCTGAAGAGCGACCGTCCGACTTCCTTAAAGCGTTTGGAAGCATGATTCCCCCAGCGGATGCGATCCAAGATGACAGCACGGGCAAGGAGCAGGAACGGGAGAAGCTCCCGCAGTCGCCCACCTCAAGCATAAACCAGCAGGAATCAAAGGTAGGCGAAGATGACCCGACTCGGCACTCCGGACAATGCTCTCACTGGGACACATGCGTCACTTTCGTGTTTACGCATCACTCGCCAGCGAACATGCCGATGCCGGGGAGAGCTGCCACGTCTAAAAAAGTCTTCGCAAAATCACTTTGAAAAAATCATACCTGTCTGCTTGGCAAGGCTTTAGCTGCACTGATGCATACAGCAGATGGTCCTGAATTTCAAATAGTGCTTATCGCAGCCGCCGCATCGGCTCGCAGTTAAACGTGTTTCCCAAACGTCGATCGCACTTCGCTGAAAATCAAGTTTGCTTCACAGGTCCACTCTGCCTTACTGTCTATTCACATGGCATGTCGCATGTGCATAATGTCAAGAGTATTTATTTTCATGCTCAAACGGCCCCAGGCGTAGCCGACAGAGTTCAGGCGATCGGCATGTGCATCTATGCTTCTTCACGAGTGTGACCCTGCAACCTTGTAAGTTCATATTCTCACTGGTACCACAATGCTGTTAATAGAAACACGAGAAAACGACAGAATAAAGTAATACAGAAGTAAGAATAATTCATACAACCGAGTCGGCATGTGTCTGTTATTGTTAACCAGTTGCAGTGTCGATGGGGGATTGGGGGGATGTACTATTGACAGTGTTCACGACCATTTGTAGGTCATTTGTTGACCAGTTTAGTTTTCGCGCAACACTGTAGGTAAGCGGGAGATTGCTGAGAGACCCTCTGTTCTGTCTCTCTCCTTATAATACATGCTCTACCCACACCTGTTCACATCACTACTGTCAAGTTTAACTTGCTTGTCTGGCCCCCGTATCGGAGTGCCTTATCTAACTTTGTTGTAATATGTCCATTTATGTTGTACTGAAATTAACCACAACTGAAGTGCCCCTTCTGACATGTGAACCCACACAAAGGTACATGGACGGACCTTCTAGAATGTTCCTTATGGAGCTTGGGGAACTCTGCAGCATGTTTCCTGCAGTGAGACCCTCAACCAAACTCAAAAATCCTGTGGACACTTGCAGTGGATGGAGGCATCTCTGTGGCCCCCCGGTCACCCGGCCCTCATCCCTGTCCCCGTCCTGGGCAGGGTGATTAGCTGAGTGTGGTTTTCAGGTCAGCATGGCTGCTCTGTCCCGCTCACCTTTGCTGGGATTTACAACGGAAGTGTCTTGCTTGGAGGCTCACAGCAGCCCGCCCCCACAAGCTACCCGTTAGCGGCTGTGGGCAGGGCCCGTGTGCTCACCTGGGACTGCGGTGTGGCTTTGCTGGGGAGGGGCTCCACAGCGCCATGAGCAACCACGATGTACCGGGCAGGGCAGCAGATCATTTTTGAGGGCAGAATGTCAGTCTTGCTGAAACTTTCCACATTTTTCTAATTCACTCCTCACAAAGAACAGACTCCTCCCACTACAGGTTCAGGTTCCACAGATATGGGGGCTTTCCACCATATGCTGCTGTGCAGGATGGAAATCCAGGCCGGTTCCATGTCACAAGTCATCTGGGTTAATTTCTGGGTTACCCGTTATTCCAGACCAACGGGCGGTACAAGCAGCACTGGCAGAGGGGGTGTCCCATGCGATTTGAGGGGGTTTGGTGGTCTCCGTGACAATGGTACACAGCAGTAACACTGAACATGTCTCCAAGGGTATTTGCTGATGTCAAAAATGGGTGGCAGTGTTGGTGGATCGAATGCCCCCTGACAATAAGTGGGGGCGGCAGTGTGAGGCAGCCACTGCTTGCCAGTATGACCCCCCCTCGTTCCTGACCCTGGCGGTCAGGGCTCGGGGGCCTGTTCTGGGTCAGAGGGCAGCAATGCCGACATTGACGTCCGCTTACAGACGGAAATGGAGCTCTGCCATGCAGAGTGTCACATGACCACAAAAATAAGAGAATACTAGTTAAAGACCAATCACAGAAGGCGGAGGCGGGCCTTCCTGTCAGTCAGAGGCAGATTCCTGACAGCATGGCTTTGAAGGAGAGTCCCAGATGATTAGCGTGGAGTATGTACTCTGTTGCATGTTGCAGAAATGCCCCCCCCCCCTCCCCGGTCTTGCTTCATGTCTCGGGTCAAGAGAAATCTGCAGAGAAATCTCTGTTCTCGCATGGCACCCCACTCTCCCAGCAGGCCGGGAGCTCCAAGATCTCTCGGCTCATGAGCTGGCTGGCCACATTGGAGCTTATGGCAGGGTTACCGTCTGCACGCATCGCGTGGCGTTTGCTCTCTCATTAACACCTGTGATGCGTGATGCTGAATGGCCCCCAAATCAGCGTAATATATAGTGTGTTATATACAGTGTGTGTGTGTATAATGGGTATTTGTGCTGCGTGTTATAAGCAGTATTTTCATTGCCTGACATTTATGATAAAATAACGAATAAAATCCCACATGCTTCACAGCGAGATGAGAGCCTCCATTTTATTAGCGCTTAAAGTCCTGCCAGTTTAACGAAATGATTTATTCCCATTGGCGTTTGCAGTCATCGATCACTCATTAAAAATTCATCAGAAAGGGCTTCGTTTCACAGCAAAGGCTATGAAAGAAGCAAACAGCCAAAGTGGATCATTAAAAGGCTGGTTGTTCTGGCAGGGGGCGGGGGCTCAGCGGGGGAACTCAGCAGTTTAATGGCACTAGAGTGACAACAGAAGAAGATTAAAAGCTGTGGGGGTGCGTCAGGATAACCACCCCCCTCCCCATATCGACTCTTTCCAGTTAGAGATTCGTGACACTTTTGCTTCCCTGATGATCCGCTGCTGCTCTGGGCTCAGCTTAGAGGGTCTATACAGGAAGTGGGTGGGGCAGGAGCACAGGCTCCACCCACCTCCAGAGTGTACATGGTGAGCCATGCCAGTCAGGTATCAGGGAGACAGTTTCTCTGTGTGTCTAAAAGCCTAAACTCTTTCCTGCCCACCCCCCACCCCCCCCCCCCCCCCCCCCCCCCCAACCACAGTTGCAGCGTTTCAAGCGCTCCCTCTCCTTCAAGACCAAGAGCCTCCGCAGCAAGAGTGCAGATAACTTCTTCCAGCGGGCCAGCGGGGACATCCGACTGCAGGTGGAGCCCCTGCCTGTCTCCGTGTGCTCGCCGGGCCGGGCGCCCCTGCAGGCGGCCGCTGCCACCTCACACAGCTTCCTGGAGCATATCTTCAAGAAGCCCATCTTCTGCGACGTCTGCAACCACATGATCGTAGGTGAGCGTGGGACCCACTCTCCGTCCCACAGCGGCAAGCTTTCGGGAGTCCCCGTCCCCTGGAGGTCTGGGTGCTCTCAAAGTCAGAAGGTCGCAGCTGCTCCCCCCCATCCTGACTTCCTGAGGTCCCAGAGCAGATGTTCCGCTTCCCTCTGCCCTCCTTAGCGCCTGCGTGTGGGTGTGTACCACGGCCCTGTTGTGCTGTTATCCGCAGTCCTCATGACCATCTGCTTTTCGGGATGGAACCACATTCACAGGCACACGAGGGACAGGACTCATCCTGGAACTCACACCCTGTGTCTGTGGTAGGGGTTGGGGGGGTGGGGTTTGCTGTGTGGACTCTGCGTTTGGGCTTCCATGTCCGTGCTGGGGGGGGAGGCGGGGTGACATCTGGAGGGTAATTAGGAAAGGGCCACCAGAAGAGAGACAGCAAGGGGGGAGGTGCAGCAGAACATTCCGGTCACATTTCCTGCTCTCGCAGTTGCTGACATGTGTTGCTGATGTGCTCCATTAATCTCACATCATCACATCGCCAGTGACCATAATGACAACTTTGAGGGTGCAGCTGACAGCAGACACTAAAGCCAGGGATTCGAACCCATGCCCGTCAGAGACCAGGCGGCCGCCTTTTCCATCACTCTACTGCCTTTACCATCACCCTGTTGTTTTGGGCACTTGGTGTCCAGTTGTTGCTCTTTGTGAGTCTGAAACATAAAATGTGTAAGTGTGTAATTTCATTTCTCATACTTAACAGAAAATGAATGGCAGGCTGGGTGCGGATCGAGCTGTTCGCGCGAAGCGGCTGCCCAAGCCGGGTCGCTTTGGGTAAATCGTGTCAAAAGTTTCACAGTCTTTCCTCCTGGGACCTCAGACAAACCGTAAGCGAGTGGAAGGTCGTCAGCAAGACGGTGCACTAAGGAGACTTCTGTGTAGTCTGTCCTCCAGCGATACACGCAGTGGGGGGGGGGGGGGGTTGGGCTTAGAGCAGGAGGAGATCAGTAAACATTAAACATAATTTAGATGCTAAAGAGATACTGTCATCTACAGCTAGTGACACAGCTGGCAGGCTGGTTAAGTCCTGGTTATGGCTGGATAATCCTGTGCCTGTTTGGTGCTTATGATGTGTGCTGGGCGCTGCCCATCCTGGGGGGGCTGGGCGCGGTCGGTAAGCTGCCCATCCTGGGGGGGGGCTGGGCGCGGTCGGTAAGCTGCCCATCCTGGGGGGGGAGCTGGGCGCGGTCGGTAAGCTGCCCATCCTGGGGGGGGCTGGGCGCGGTCAGTAAGCTGCCCATCCTGGGGGGGCTGGGCGCAGTCGGTAAGCTGCCCATCCTGGGGGGGCTGGCAGCAGAGCTCCCCTTGTCACCTGGGTGAAGGTGCGAAGCCTGGCACGGCTGCCCAGCTGCAGAGGGACACCCACGGGTAGTGTGAGCCGCCCCGGTCGTGAAGGCTGTCCTAGCGGGGGGGGGGGGGGGTCACGTTTAACGCGACACAGATAGGCTCGTGCTCTGGCCGTCGTGTTCCCTGTCCTAGTGAGGGGGGGGGGGCAGCGGTGCCCTCCAGGTGGAACTCTGCAATGACACCAAAGTCTGTCGTGTTCCGGAGCATTAATGGGGGGGCTGCCCCCCCTCCCCCCAAACTTGAGAAGCCTGTTTGTGTCGTCTGCCACTGAGCCACTGCCTCAGTGTGATTCCTGCAGACAGAGCAGTGACACTGCAAAGCCAGTACTGCACTGATCACGGCATTTAAATAATCACAGCCTCCATGCTATAGGTGAACACAGCCCATCATCCTGTTATGCAGTTTGCTTAAACCTGAGCCTTTGTTTACATGTGACCTTTGTGTTAAATGACCTCTTAGCCCAGTAGAAAAGGGGCTGTGCTTTACCAATGGCGGGGGGGCATCCTTAAGGAGGGAGGTGACTTTCCTGCTTGGTGCGGTGCTGGAATTTCACTGCGGCGTGAATGACAAATGGACAGGTGAGGCGGCTTAGCTTAGCAGCACGCGCTAGCAGCTCAGCGAGGAATCCCCCCCCCACCCCTCAAAGAACAGCTGTGCCAAAAAAAACATTGTGTTCAGAATGTCCCATCTCCTGCCTCTTGTGCTTTTGGAGGAAAGGAAACATTCCCACAGTGATGCTGATATGAGGACTTCATCTTACCTCCCACTTCACAGGCAGTACTCTACGTCATTGATGAATAATCTCTGCTTGCATAGCCAGGGCTGTGAAGGAAGGCTTCCTGCTCACCCGATATGAGCCCTGCCAGGGTGACGGCCTTCCTCGCACACCGCAGGTGAGGCCAACACATCTGCAAGGCTGGAGGGCTGAGACTCCCAGGCCACAAGGCTGAGACTCACAGGCTCTAATGCCGAGACTCACAGGCCACAAGGCGGAGACTCCCAGGCCAGAACATCAAGGCTCCCAGGCTGAAAGGCTGAGACTCATCGACTGGGAGGCTGAGACTCACGGGCCATAAGGCTGAGACTTATGGACCAGAAGGCTGAGACTCACGGGTTGGAAAGCTAAGACTCGTGGGCCGGAAAGCTGAGACTCGTGGACCGGAAGGCTGAGACTCATGGGCCAGAATGCTGAGACTCGTGGGCCGGAAAGCTGAGACTCGTGGGCCGGAAGGCTGAGACTCATGGGCCGGAAGGCTGAGACTCGTGGGCCGGAAAGCTGAGACTCGTGGGCCGGAAGGCTGAGACTCATGGGCCGGAAGGCTGAGACTCGTGGGCCGGAAGGCTGAGACTCATGGGCTGGAAAGCTGAGACTCGTGGGACGGAAGGCTGAGACTCATGGGCTGGAAGGCTGAGACTCGTGGGCCGGAAAGCTGAGACTCGTGGGCCGGAAGGCTGAGACTCGTGGGCTGGAAGGCTGAGACTCGTGTGCCGGAAAGCTGAGACTTGTGGGCTTGGCCTCACAGCAGACATCACTGGTAGGGAGTGAGCTGTCAGTGATGAACCGCGTTACAGTGACTCACACCTCAGTGATGCTTTTTTCCAGCCTACAGAATGACCTCAGCATACATACGTCAATTCCGCCGTACCATAAAAGCAGAGCTGTTACGCAGATGAGTATGAACAGGAAGTCAGCACCGCAATATTTGGTTGCTCGATTACTGTACTTACATTACATTGACATTATAGGGCAACAGAGATTAGGTGACTGGTCCTGTTCTCTTGTATATTTCAGTTGTTCTGAGCATTCATGACCCCCCCTGCCCAAATGAGAATGTTCTGGAAGTAATTAAGCCTCATGAATCTGTGATTACTTGCTCAAGTCACACGTCTGTGATGGCATGGGGGGGGGGGGGGTCTCTCTGTCACATTTCATTGATTGGAGGCTGAACACCTTCAGGTCTTTGAAAGCTGGGGGGGTCAGCCTGACTGTGGGGAGCTTTTAAAGTCAAGTTACAGAGAGGAGGCCATACAATGGGGGCAGCGAGGTCTGTCAGTTATTGCTCATAGTCACCCATTAACCCCTCCCACTTGATCTCAACCACCCCCCACATCCAGCAACACTAGAGGGGCTTGTCAGTAACTCCCTCACCAGCTTCCAGAACCTTCCTCTTCAGGTGTGTGCAGCTGCAACCAAAGTCATACTTCACTGCAAATCAGTAGAGGTTAAACCCCACGAAGGGCTGGTTTTTGGGTTGTGCGCTGCTTCCACGTTGGGCCGGATCAGGCCTCGTCTCGGAGCTTCGCTTTAACCCTGTGAGAAATCCCTCCTGCTCAGTCTGTGAAGTGGCTCCGATTGCTGCCGTCTTGGTTATTCGCAGAGCAGCATGCAGGGTGTGGCGTGTCGTTTGGGGAGCGAGGAGGAGCCTGTGCCAGAGTCCTGTCAGTGCAGCAGCAGCAGAAACCCAGTGACCTTTCACTTTCATTCTGCTGTTTCCATTCATCCATCATCCATCCATCCATCATCCATACATCTTTTGTACCCATTTGTCCTATTCAGGGTCATGGGGAGTCCAGAGCCTATCCTGGTAGGCTATGGGCGCAAGGCAGGGAACAACCCAGGATGGGGCGCCAACCCGTCACAGTGCACAGTCACACACCATTCACTCTCGCAGACTCAGATCTATCTATCTATCTATCTCTCTATCTATCTATCTATCTATCTATCTATCTATCTATCTATCTATCTATCTATCTGTCTGTCTGTCTGTCTGTCTGTCTGTTTGTCACAGTCACATCACATCACATCAGGTCCCGTCTTGTAACAGTGGATCCCAGTTTGTCTGTCTGGTTTGCATGTTGCTGGTTCCCTGTGGCTTCCTGTCGTTCTCCATGGCATTCTGACGCTCCCTATCATCTACAGGCAGCACTACAGGCAGCACCGCCAAGCACGGCCTGCGCTGCAAAGCCTGCAAGATGAGCATCCACCACAAATGCACTGATGGTGCCGGCCAGCAGCGCTGCATGGGCAAGCTGGTGAGCTCTGTCGCTCTCCTCGCCGCCGTCACCGCCGTGGGTGTTCCACCTGCCGGTCCTGGAATTAAACTCCTTTCTCCACTTTTTTTTATGGGAATCTGGATGACCTGCCTGACTGGCCTGTTGGAAAATGATCGCAGGCGATGAAATGCGGTGCAGTGGAACGGTGGCGCATTGAGAATTAGGCTGCTGCTGTCCTGTTTCTAAGGTGGATGTGAAAGGAAGGCGTCAGACATCAGCCCAGTGCTTACAGCACCTTTGAAAGTCATTCGGAAGGAACCTGCACCAGGGGGATCCATTTCCGGTGAAGATCTAGTGGATTATCTCACTGATCCAGCGGGTCCATTGTGATCAGAAATCTCTGTATAATTTAGGTGCTGCGTATGAGTGCGTGGCTCATCCAGGCACCAGACGAAGGTGTCTCTTGGATCAGGATGGATTTCCAGTGCAGCCCGTAAACACCACCCCCTAATTCATTACCCCACCGGCGCAGCACTGCAGTCACACTGCAGGAGGGCGTCGCATTCACCGGCATAGCACGTCCCTCCGGCAGCTGCGACAGGCGAGGTTCACTTTTATAACACGGCACCAATTCTCTGATCTAGTAATTGGAGGGTGGGAAGGGCGTAGTCTCACGCCTCCCCAATCCTCCCTCAGCGCACGGAGCGGGGGGGTCCACCTTTTGGGGGTGGGGGCCCACTCTGCTGGAGGGAGGTAGAGGGGATAGGAAGAGCGAGTGGAGGAAAAGAGACCCTGGTACGATAGCCAGGCAGCAACTCAGCCAGGCGGGATTATCCCTGGTTGGGATTACGGTCCCTGTCAGGGTTAACATGCAGTCCTGATCAGGGTTATAGTCCCGGTTGGGGTTAACGTATGGTCCTGGGCGGTGTTCTGGTCCCAGTTGAAGTTAATGTGCAGTCCTGGTTGGGGTTATGGTCTCAGTCATGGTTTTGTGCGGTCCTGGACAGGGTTATGGTCCCAGTTGGGGTTAACGTGCGGTCCTGTTGCTGGGAAAGCGCATGGAGAAAATCAGTGACCTGCCACAACCCCCGCTCCCTCCGCCCCCCCATGGCAGCATCCTTCCAGAATGGAAAATAAGGTTGTTGGGTCACACACAGAGGAGGAGTGTTCCCATTGGAGCAGAGTGCTATCTTTAGGGGCCGCTAAACTTAGGGCTGAAAACAGAACATGTATCTCTGTTTATTTCTCTTGGCCAGTTTGACTAAAGTGTTTGTAGCCAGGAAGAAAGTGCCTCCATATGGCAGCATATGGGGAAGGAAGCCGGCCTGCTTAGACGTTACTACGGCAGCCATGCGCTTTGAGATTAATTGATAAGGATAAATAATTAATACGCAGCACCAGATGGAGGCCGTGAAGAGGCTTGAACAGAAGCATTTTAAAACTTTTATAACGGGAATTGTCTTTTTCTGCTAACGAGAATGTCAGATAAATATACAGCTGATGATTACTACATGCTAATTGCAGGCTGGTCCCGTAAAGGAATGAGCTCTAATATATTTTGTTTTGTAAGTTAACACGGTGATGTGACGTCTGTCGGTGATTCAGCAGTCCTGTGGCAGGCTACTAAACTGAGCCCAAACACGTAAAAAGGGCATTACTATGTGATGACGGCATTTTCCCCTTCGCCAGCGCTCCATGCGGGATGTGGGAACATCCACGCTGCTTTTCTGGGCCCAGAACAGGCGCTAGTGAGAGAACAGCTAATCTCTGTGCCTGTAAAAGGCTTCCCTGGCATATGGATCCACAGGAAGCGGAAGCCCATGCAGCATGACTCTGATTGTGATGACGGACAGCCGCAGGATGGATCAGGGCCTGGGGCAGATGTGGGCGGAACTGGTGTTATGTTAAGAACAAAACAAGCAAACAAACCAATGAGCAAACAGACCTATGCGTGTGGGACAGAATGCCGTAGCCACCTCCCATGTCCCTCTGCGGGGAGGAAAAGGACAGGGACATACCACCCCCCCCCCCCCCCCCAAATGATCCACAGTCATCCCCATGTCTCCTTCCAGCCCCCCATTCCACCCTGGTAAAAAAAAAAGTTGCACCAGTTTTTCTTGAAAATGCAGCGTGGAAAGTGAGCTTTCACGTGGGAGGTGAGAATCAATCTTGGAAGGAAGGAAGAGGAATGGAGAGGCGATGGACTGTGGGGGACATGCCCTCTGAACCCTGTGGAGGCAGGGGCCCAAGCTGACATGGCCATGGGCGTGGCAGTTGTAAGGGGACCACGGGCATGACGGGGCCCCGGGCATAAGGGGCATTATGAGGCCCTGGGAGTAATGGGCGTGACAGGGTCCCGAGCGTAACGGTCGTGATGAGGCCCCGGGCGTAACGGGCGTGATGAGGCCCTGGGCGTGATGCGTGTAACAGGTGAAACGGGGCAGTGTGGGGCAGGTTCAGCTCCAAAGTCTGACTGTGTTTCTGGCTAATGCAAAGTACATGGGAGTGCCTAGTGTATGAACCCACTGTGCCGGGAGAGCCGTGTGCGTGTCAGAGCCGTGTGCGTGTCAGAGCCGCGTGCGAGTCAGAGCCGTGTGCGTGTCAGAGCCGCGTGCATGTCAGAGCCGCGTGCGAGTCAGAGCTGCATGCGAGTCAGAGCTGCGTGCGTGTGCCAGTGATCCCTGCAACAATGCAGATGAGGCCTTGGAATCTCTTGTCGGTGCTGCACCTATGTCTAATTACAACATTAATGGTGACGCATATTGCGATAAGCCTGCTGCTGTAGCCTGGTGGCCCGGCAGAGGTCAGCTACCCGTGGGAGGGCGCTGGCTCTGCCTGGAAGGGCTCAGTTTGGGGGCTAAGGAGCTTTGCATGCTGTGTGATCTGCCCACTGACCCTCTGCCCCTCCCAGCCCAAAGGATTTCGCCGCTACAGCAGTTCGCCGCTGCTGATCCAGGAGCAGTTTGGCTGCATTAAAGAAGTTATGCCCATTGGTGAGTGCCCCCTGGTGACCGCTTGTGACCATGACAGCGGCGTCCCCGTCTCTTCTGACCGCGTTCCTCTGCGTCCCCCAAGCATGCGGCAGCAAAGTGGATCCGGTGTATGAGGCCCTGCGTTTCGGAACCTCGCTGGCCCAGAAGACCAAGCGGACCAGCACGGGCTCAGAGTCGCCCCACCGGAATTCAGTAATCTCACAATCAAGGGAGGGGGGGTGGGAGAGAGGGATGGGCAGTCGGGTCTCCAAATTAACATCCATGTAGGCAAGCAGCAGTAACATGACATTACTGAACCCCCCACAGTCAGTTCAGATCTATAATCTAATATCTACTGCAGAAATACAAATTAGTTATATTTTTTAAGCTTAATTTCCCCCACAGGACCTGAACCTATAGCCTGGTGGTTAAACCTCTTAACTAGTCCCTAGTCATGGCCATTAGGTCCTCTCTGGACATGAGAAGTGTCCCTGTCACCCTGCCTGCATCCCGGGGCAGCTGGGAGCATTGAGCAGCCCAGAGAGGCACCCTGACTACCGGCAGCCCCCCCCCCCCAGCCCTGCATATGACAATGGGCCCAAAGCACGTTGCTCCCGTCTCCTCAGATAGGAGAGACAACAAAGCATCCTCACGTCAGCCTTATCGCCGTGGTGTCTGCGGAACCGGCCCCTGATTGGCCACGGTGTCCGTGGAACCGGCCCCTGATTGGTCCATCCCTGTTGCGCAGACCAGCGACTTGGCAGGAGTTCCAGAGGAGGCGGTGGGGCGTGCAAGCAGAGTGGATCTTGGCAGGAAGCACAGCGACAACGGTGGGTGTGCCGCCGCCCGTGGGGGAGGGGCAGTATGGGGTGGGTGTGGCACAACTGCAGGCCGAGGGGGGCTCCTTCCACTGCACCCTCCACTACACACCTTAAGGTCTCGTCTTCTGCACTAAAAGCAGCCTTGCTGTAGCTCATTAGCTGGCCAGCAGGGGCTGTCGCTGTGCCACTGTGATGCTGTGCAGGATTAAACACAGGTATTGGCACGATTTTATGTGCACTGTCATGACAAGAAATCACTGCGCACTTAACCTTTACAGGGGAAGTGCATGCTTCATTCACACTGTGGGCGTCCAAATACAGGTGTGTATGAGGGGTCACCTCTGGGGAAGGGGGGGGGTCTCCCTGATGCCAGTTGTGGGTCGTGATCTCTGCCATGTCCCAGCCTGTAGGCATCTGGGCCCTTGGCTTACTCACTCACTGGGTCCTTTTGGGTCTTTGTTTTTCAGTATTCGTGCCCCTCCAGAATGGAACGGATCACTTTGCCACCGGAGATCAGAAAGCCGATGAGTCGCCGGTAAGCAGTGAGCCCCCCCCTGCTGGGCGTGAGGCTGGGCGCGGCGGCTATGTTGCTGGGGGTGACGGGAGCGTAGGTGCCTCCCCAGGATGACGTCCCGGACGTCCGTTAGGTAACGAGAGCGGCAGGGTACAGTGGGAGTGAGGCGGCTATTTTGAGAGTGCGGCGGGGGGTGTGTTTGGAGAGTGGGCTGTGACCCTGACCCCTGAAGTCCCTCACTGCAGTGTAGGCTTTGAGCCTGTCTCATTGTTTGAATTTCTCCAGCTTCCCAGACCCCCAGGATCTCTGCTGGCTCCGGGGCCAAACACAGCAGGGTAAATATTAGCCCAGTTTTAGCACCAGTTGTACACAGCCGCTGCACCAGTGACCACTCTGAGCAGGAGACATGAGAATCCAACGTCCCTCGGTGAGGCGAGGCGTCTCCGCGTTACCACTCTCATCCAGAGGGGGAGTCAGACAAAAGGAACATCACACACCCGCGTGGCAGTAGGTGACAGGGGCCTTGGTGCTCGGTGTCTGTGTCACATGTGCATTGTTACACACCCTCATTGGACCGCCCAAAAGCTGAGGAGGCCTGCAGTGGGGGGTGCGTGGCTGTGGGCCCTTGTGCCAGGGAGGCAGCGGGGTGGCCTCGGTTGCCTGGTTATCCTGCCTTCGCCTTAGGCCTGGAGGGGGGGGGGGGGGTCAGCGCTTTGTAGTGCTGTGGTGACCCATTAAATAATCCATTCCCAGACAAACATGTGCCCCCTCCCAATCCGCCCTCAGCATTACAGCCCCTCGTTTGAGAACGCCGCAGCCAATGGGGGGTTCTGGGCAGCTGGGAAAAGGTCATTTATCTGTCTGAGAGCTGGAAAGGCATCCTTCCGGAAGGGGCCTTCATCGTCCGCTGAAGACAGAAACCAGACCCCGCCCAAGAACATCATCCCCAGAACTGCAGACCCACACCACGGGCCGCTGCTCTCTAAGCAGCTGAGTGGCAGCAGAACAGCCTCCTTGCTCCTCTAGAACCTTCTGATGAAATGAGCTTGAGCGTCTCTCACCTCCCAGGTGAAGAGGACCCTGCGGAGGGAGGAGCGCCACCTGCTGGACACCTATGTGGCCTTGTACAGGTTCATCCCCCAGCAGAGCCAGGACCTGGACATTCGGTCAGTGTGATTCTCCTGTCCACTCCTGCTTTGGGTCTGGCCTTCAGCAGAGAACCCCCTCCCCGTGCCTTTTGGACCTTCTCACGCCCACAGATGTTCTCCAGTAACAGACGGTTCAGGGAAAACTTGTCCCTCCCATGCCTGTGAATGATTGGCTGAGGCTGCAGTATCTCTGCAGCTGATAGGCTGGCAGTATAAAGGCGTGGCTGAGTTTTATCCCTATTTCTTTATGATCGTCACCTTCATGGTGCTTTCATGTGTGGCTTTTGTGTTTTATGGCATCAAAACAGCACACCTCATTATAGAATGTGTCTCTTTTTTAGCTGTTTTATTATAATTATACTGTTTCACACCATATTGTTGTCAGACACGCAGATAGCGCTGTCAGAAAAACTCCCCCTTTACGTCACCCACTTGACATAAAAAGTCCAAAGAAAGACAATAGTGAATAAAGAGGAAATGAGCGTCAGAAAGAGAAAAATCACAAATAAGTGTCAGTACAATCAGACTTTCAGTTAAACAGCAGATCAGATTTTGAAGGGTGAACCCGCCCCAGCACTCAGGGCGTTAGAAAGGCGTTTAAGCCGAGTGTGTGACACACTGAACTGGCCTGGGAGAGACAGATGATAAGGATCGGGGTGGGGTCACATAAGGGGGGGGGGCGGGTTGAGAAGATGGGAGCAGATGTCGCTCAGTTACTGACGATGCTGTAAAGTCGGGAGGGTAAGTGAAGCATTTCTGTTTCAGAGGAGGCAGATTGTTTCAGACAGCAAGTGTGCCAGTGTCGTTAGCGCCCCCTGCTGGAGACGTCTGCACCGCAGCGTTGGGTTATGACCATGCAGAGTGTGCCAGTGTCATTAGCACCCCCTGCTGGGGACATCAGCGCCACAGCTTTGGGATATGGCTGTGCAGAATGTGCCAGTGTCATTAGCGCCCCCTGCTGGGGACGTCATCACCGCGACTTTGTTAAAGTCATGGGCAGTCCCTTCCCATTAAATCACACATGACCCCAGGTGGGAGCAGAGGGAGGCCGTGATGGAGGTCAGACAGCAAGCCTGAGAGATGTGATGACGGAATCGGTCACTAAGTCCTCCTTCCCCACAGGCCTGGCGACCGCATCCTGCTCATGGACAATTCCAGCGAGGACTGGTGGAAGGTAAGAATGGCGGTTAGGGACACCGACCGGGCCAAGCTGCAGAGGCGGCAGCCAGCACCCTGGGGGTGCTGAAAGTGCCTCAAACAGCACTGTGAGACGTCACTCTTAGCAGCAGTAGTGGGGTTAGCATGAGGCAGTGACTGGTCAGAGATCAGCAGGTCTGAGGGGAGTAGCATACTAACCAGCGCCACCTAGGCCCATCTCAGGTGCCACATGAACGCTGGCGTGCTCTGCTGACGAGCGCAGTTAAGTCACACGGGTGTGTGCAGTAATTACAGGGACGGCACAGAAGCCAGGGGTGCTGCCTAGTACACAGATAACAGGTCAGAATAGCTACCGCGTGACTCACAGCGGGTGGCAATCAAAATGCCGCTGGCTTGGGCCGGCCTGAGCCTGGCAGGCCGGAACCTCAAACAGGCTGGGCAGAACCTCAAACAACTCGGCCTGAACCTCCAACAGGTTGGCCGGAACCTCAAACAAGTTGGTCGGAACCTCAAAAAGGCTGGCTGAAACCTCTAACAGGCCGGCAGGAAACTCAAACAAGCTGGCCAGAACCTCGAACAGGCCAGCAAGAATCTCAAATGGGTCGGCTGGAACCTCAAACAGCCCAGCCCGAACCTCAAAATGGCCGATTGGAGCCTCAAAAAGGCTGACTGGAACCTCAAAAAGGCTGGCCCAGAACCTCAAACAGGCCAGCCGGAACCTCAAACAGGCTGGCCAAAACCTGAAACAGGTTGGCTGGAACCTCTAAAAGGTTGGCCAGAACCTCAAATAGGCCAGCAGGAATCTCAAATGGGTCAGCTAGAACCTCAAATAGGCTGGCTGGAACATTCTGGCCAGAACCTCAAACAAGCCAATTGGAACCTCAAACTGGCCTTCAGTCAGCTGTGCTGCGAGCTGTGTTCTCCACCTTGGGTCTGCGTCTGAATCAGCTTTTTCCCCCATGACCCTCACAGGGCGTAATGGACAACCGGATCGGCTACTTCCCTGCCTCCTTCGCCCAGCAGTTGCAGCATGGCGACAGAGTGTTCCGCTGCTATAAGACCTTCATCGGCTGTAAGGAGCAGGGCCAGATCACGCTGAAGGAGGGCCAGGTATGGTACCGCAGCGCTCCCAGCAAGATTGGGCAGCATGAACTGTTTTTGTTCTAAATCACAGCTTCTCCTTATGTGTCCGTCAGGTCTGTGTGAGCGGTGAGAATGAAAGCAACGGCTTCCTGCGGGTGACAAGCGGGAAGAAGACGGGCTTTGTGCCCTGCGATGTTCTCGAATCCATCTGAGGAAGAGGGATGAGGAACGCAAGAGGGGTGAGATGGAGACAGAGACAGAGAGAGAGCAGCAATGTCGCACACGTATCCATCCCCTACAGTGAGCACGCTCTGCCGAGGTCCGTCCACCGCAAGGACCCGCTTCCTGATTGGACAAATAAAGCTGGAGCATAGATGGGCTCCAAAGGAGACACGGAGCAGCACCATGCTGGGGTGATGCTCCTCACCTGACACGTAAAAGAAGCAGAGTTGTGAAGGTGGAGGCTGTGCGTCCTGGGTGGATGCTGCCATCTTCTTCCTGTTTTGTTTTGTTTTCCTCCTCTCGTTTTTAAGAGGAGGGCATGGATCATCGCGCATTCCAGCAGATTCTGTGTGACTGGCGATCGCCGGGACTCTGGCGGGACGATGCAGATCCGTGGGCCGCTGGGGTGGCAGGGCGGAGGAGCAGGATGCTGCATCTTGGCTGTTTACACAGTTTTTCCAATATCTTTATACGTTTATACATCAGATCAGGCTTTGCTCTGTCCTCGGTTAACATTTGGTGCTGACACCAACTCGGGGACAGGGGGACACATTTGCATTGCACTGTGTGTCACGCCTCAGTGACGCTGATTTCTGTTAGAGGCTCCCAGGGTTTGTCGAGTCACGGCAGGGGGTGGCTGCATCCAAAGGGCATCATTTCCAAGAGCAAATGAGTTACTGGTCCCCTCAGCATCATCAGGGTCCAGGGGATTAAATCCCTTTGAAGTACAGAGTCAGTCCACTTTTCTTTTAATTTAACTGACATATTAAATTATTCAATTTGTACAGACGCTCCTCTACTTACGAATGAGATATGTTCCGAATGGCCGTTCGTAACTTGAAGTTCGTAAGTCGTTATTCAACATCATTTTAAGGGTATACGCAAGTACAAAGAACTAGGATATTTGGAGTACGCACGCTACGCTGCTGCGCGGTGGGAGTAGCGGCCAGACGTCAGCAAAGAAAGTTATATTGCGGACAGGAAATGGGAGCCCAATGAACACAATTTGGACCTCTTCGTTCGTATGTCTGAAAGTTCGTAAGTTGAAAGTTTGTAAGTAGAGGAGCATCTATATTTACATTTGCTATTTATTTAGCAGACAGTTTTATTTAAAGCAATATAAAACTGAGAAGGCGGGGTCACACTGGGGGCGGGGTCACACTGTGGGTGGGGTCACACTGGGGGCGGGGTCACACTGGGGATTCATGGCCCAAGGATGAAATCACTCTGGGATTTCAACCAACTACCTTCCGATCACAGGCACAGCATACTAACCTGCTGAGGCAAACACTGCCTATTATTTAACACAGAAGGACAACACAAATGATGTAACCTATAATTAGCTCTTCAAAAGTTGCAGATTTACAATAAAGCAACATGGCAGCCATGTTTCAGAATCAGCATCTGTATTGGCACACGACTAAGGCCGGTGGAGATCAGTGTTGGCATAGCTTGCTGCAGTTGGAGACACCCTAACAATAGAAAATTAACAGTTAGGAAAAACAATGACAGAGACTCAATGCAAGACACAGCAGAAAGGCGTAAATACGAGGTAGTTGAAAAATGTCTGCGTTTGTATAAGCTCCACCCAGCGGCTATCCGCATGGCGGACTGGGCACCCTGTTCTGTGTATATTATGTTCTGTCATATAGTTTCAGATAGAAGGTCGTACAATCTAAATATGATTAACGATGCGAGTACTGCAGGTGCCAGATGCTGTTCTTGGTGTTTACGGCATGCGAGTACTGCAGGTGCCAGATGCTGTTCTTGGTGTTTACGGCATGCGAGTACTGCAGGTGCCAGATGCTGTTCTTGGTGTTTACGGCATGC